TAATAAATTAAACTGAAACATACCTTCATAATGTTTGAACTAAGACCGTCAAGTTCATATAATCGACATATCTCTAAATTCTACAAGGAGAAACAAATCATGTTAAAATTCACCTTCAAAAGATAAAACCAGATCAAGTAGAAACTCCAGAAGTTCCAACAAATATAGAATTTTGCAGTAAAACGTATATCAATCACCTTAAGTAGCATCCCATTATGTTGAACAGGTTGATTGTATAACAACGTTTCTAAAAATCCAATTCCCTGCTTTGCGCACGATGTCAAGTAAATTGGAGCTATCTAAGACACAAAAGTGTCAAAAACATAAGGATTAGTTGATGTCATGGGGGAAGAATTTTCATCACCTTGTACAAATAAATATATATAAACAAAGAGCTTGAACAAGATGAGTCGTCAAGAATCTACTTCAAACAGCGAAAAATGCCTGAATGAACTTTTTTCTCCCTCCTCACTTTTAACCTGGGACCTACTTAAACTTTGTAAATGTTTGTCCCCCAACTAAAGGAACATAACTCGAATGAGAAAAAATGAACCATGTAAAACCATACAATATCTAATAAACAATCTACATATGAATAGAACTAGAACTATTCAGGATATCCTTCTTTGAATCTTTTAGACAACCCCATCAAAAAAAAATATCGATTACAGAAACACAAACCTGCCAAGTAAATGCATGTGAACAGAGAACTTGGGCATACACAAGCCGATGAAGCTCCTCTATGCTAATTCCCCCAAGATCATGGAGCTCCTCATGTAGAAGAACTTCTACTTGATCACTCTCTTCCGTCAACAATTCCATGGCATGTGTAACCATCCTATCAATAGACAGTACTAACAAGCTTTAAACACTGATGCATTAATGCATATCATGGGTATAGGCACCAAAGATAAGGCTACTGTAGCTCACCAGGGGCCAAATCCTCTAGAACACTCCGCTAAAACAACCTGAGCCATGACAGAGAATCCCCTTAAGTCAAGAATAGAAAATCAGAACACATATATTCCACATGCCTTACCTCTGTACTTTCTCCGAGAATTCCAATCATTAGCCTCATCAAGCGATCAGTATTTGATGTTTTTTTCAACTGCATACATCTTTCTGCCAGGTTGTACATGCTTTCTAGACCCTGACTAAACCGAATAAGATATTAGCCTCTTACAGGGAAATGTGCAGGATGCAGAAACTCAGTGTTGAATTGTTCTAAAAGTGGGAAACTGAAAATGAGTAGAACTCTTGTATCGTGCAGGTGAACATTACCATCGTGAATGGTCTAACATACAAAAGCTGAGAGATATACAGCTCCATCCAGTTGCAGGTTGCTCCACTGAGGCTCTCAACGTTTCCTAGAATGATCTGAAGCATATTCCGCAAACCTTCCCTGGTCTGAACATGAGCACAGTACACCCAAAATGCACTACCGTCCAACTTGGTTATTTGAGACCGCCATTTTTCCCATGCCTATTGAACAACATGAATAATCCATACATTGTATCAAGATGTTTCACAACATGATGTGCAATTTTTAAACTTAATTCAACATGGTTAATTGCAACCGCCATTTTTGCCATGCCTATAGAACAACATGAATATTCTATACCTTCGTAAAATCAGGCTTGGTTTTGAAGCATTCACCAAGTCTACCAGAATCCAACTCAGGGCGCATGCGTGGCATTTTTGAAATTAGAACAGCCACCGCCTCCACCAGTCCATTCTCTGTCTGTCATCCATTAGGTATCAGATGAAGTTATAAAAAGACATACATAACTGACAAATACAAGAAAACTCACATCACCCATACAAGGAACATAAACCACTCATTCTAAACTTTGAGAGATCAGTACATCCATCACCGAGGAACATATATTCTCCTTGTTTTTTAATTTATATCATATCAAAATCTTTAGGAACACTCTTTCCATCAGAAAAAATCCATTCAAACAAGCAAATTTTTAATAAATTCCTCTCATATTTAACTCATCAACTACATTCCTCGTTAAGGAAATATGGTCATAATCTTAACAACTCCCACTTCATAGAATGTTTCACTTGTCAAGGAAGCCTCCCTCAAAATTTTCTAAAACCGTTGAATTTCTTCCATAAGACATTGTTCAATGTCTAATTTGCATTTTTTCTTTTACGACTCTGTGGACTATACCCATTCACCAACATTGGTACCCACTACACATAATATGTTTGCTCAGTAAAAACTTCATTCTTTATAAGTTCCTTCCCCAGTGAAGTGTTATGGGCTAACTCTTATTTTAAGGAAAATCATATAATAAGTTCTAGTGATGGTATAAAAATGCATATGAAGATGTAACAGCAACTCTCAGATCAAACAGATCACACATCATATTTAGGGTTCTTTTGCAATTTATGGGCAACAGAAAATTTCTAACAAACCTCCCGATTGCTAAGCTGATCAAGCTGATAAGATCCATGTAGGCGCAACATTTTCACCTGCAAGCAGAGCCAGCATTACCACTTTTTAAATCATTGTGTTATGTGTGATGACATATGCTGGTTAATAGGTATAAAGAATGGAACACTAAGTGAATATCCTATAACCACTTACAACAATCTCTTGCCAACCAACTGCTAATGCTGATGAAATTACATCCCAATAACTTGGATTATCCTCAACTACCTTGACATAAAAAAATTAAACAAAGAAAAAATATTATAGTTAATAATCACCAATGACCAACAAGAACAATGGATGCTAACATTTGCAAATATAAAGTAATGAATCCAATTGCATGGTAAGGAAGCAATAACAATAAATCATACAAGGCCAACTTTACCAAAAAAGACTATTTACGAAGTCAATTAAGGCAGGAGATATAATATAAAAAACCACTCTCTCAATTCTACTTTCTTGCAATGAAAAGATGTTGCGTTCACCTTGCCCAGCTACAAATCAAAGAGTAGAAGCCTTCTCACAGAAAAATGACAAAGAACAACTACTACCAATCAGAAATACTGTATAGCAGAAAAAGGTACACTAGAAACTAAGATAAAGCTTGTTTTGGCCTGATAGGTTAATATGGTCTAGGAGGTTGGTTAGGTATTGAGATGAGAAAACTGAGGGGGGGGAGGCCTTTCACTCGTAACAAAAATTAGTAAGTGGGAATAAAAGTCTAAAAACTATAACAAACACATAGGTAACTAAAATGAAAGAACGAAAAATGATGGAACAAAATGTGGGGAACCTGTAAGTCGTCAAGTTCTTTTTGAAAATTGAAAAGTTTTGAATGGATAGTTGATTGTCTAGTTAAGAGGACGCTATCATATTCCTGCAATGACAAGACAAGTATGAACTATCAACAGATAATTATTACCTTAGTGGGACTTTTCCAATATAAATTCTTAAGAAAAGAATGAAAAAGAAGGGAAGATCAATACAGCTAACCAATCAACAAGGCGTTCATTAAGCCACCAATGAGACTGCTTGTCTGCATAAAACACATCCATAAGCTCCCAAGCAGCTTTCAAACATGTAGGCTCCTCGACTTTCTATAGAGATTCTTAAAATATCAATACCAAGATTACTTATGGCATAAGAAATAAAGGTTTAGCAACATTAACTCCGCGTCCACAGTGACAATCCTCAGTAAACTTAACGATATCCAAGCACTTCCAGGCATTATTACTAGAAAGAGCTACTAGAATTCAAAATTAATATGCGACTGCAGAAACACCAACTCACCTTCAAAATTTCCAGTGGATCCTCAATAGCCGAGCTAGGAAGTGACTTCGGGTTACCAAGAATTGAACTCACGTCCTTGCTATACTCCGCTATGTATTCCCACCTGTTTTTAAACGAGTCCCTTCTAATTAGTAGAGGAAGAACTCAACATGTATCAAAGAGGTTTGATAATAAAAAGAATTGCGTCCAATTCGATGTACACCAGAAAATCAGCAGAACTCCTTCGAAGTCCAATTCCCAGCGCAATAGACATTTCTTGAAGAAATGTGAGTTTTCATACAGAAAATGTAATCCAACAAATTAAATTATAAATTTCTAATTACCACCACATTCTTTAGCGCTTACCCATCCGGATTAAACTGTGACAAACCCATCGACATCTTCGACAAGCCCAAAACCATATTCTTCCGACTCTGAAGAAGAGCAAATGGGGAGACTGAACCGTACGCGATCCTCCGAAACTCCGCAGCACTAATTTCCGTATCTCCATTTCTGATCTTCACCTCCAAAACTTGCCCGCCAACTTCACCGTCATCAGAACCTGCAGAATTGTCGCCACACTGCTGCTTAAAAATGGAAACACGGAAGGAGTTGCCTCTGGCCCAGGAAATGGATAATCGAGCTATTGGAGGCTTAACTTCATGCCTGATAGGGTAGACCACTTCACGGTCCACCGAAGAGGACAGTACTAGAGCTCCGCTGGGAGAAGAATCAGAAACGGGGGCTGGCATTTCAGCAGCTTCAACTCAACTGACTGTGAGTGAGCTCTGCTAGGGTTTTGGGAGCGAAGAAGAGAATTCGAAGAAGGAAAAAGCCGGGAAAGTAAACAGTTAGGTCTAATTAAGCCCTAACTTCGCGGTTCGGTGTAAATGACGAACCCGGATTTTTTCGGTCATATTCCAAACGGTCTAACTGTTCTGAAATTGTAGTTAAATACTAATTACAAGTATATGATAAAATATATATATATATATATGTATGTATGTATGTATGTGTATATTTATATATATGTATGTATCTGTATACATGTGTATGTATGTATCTATATATATATATGTATGTATGTATCTACATATATAAAATAAGTATTTACTATTTACGTGTAAAAATCAAAATAAAATATGTTGAAATATAAACTTAAAATCACAATATTATTATTTATTTATTTATTTATTTATTATTATTATTATAATATGTGGCAGCTTGAAATAGAAAATTAAAACCTTCTAACTTTAAAATATAATATATCTCTTTATGTTTGTTGAGTTATATTAGTGTTTGTCAAATTAATTTTTTTTAGCCCAACATTATACATAATCCAAGACATGATGGCTCTATTGGCTTGAATCCATTTCCTCGAAGCGTTTTATTAATCCTTACCAATAGATACAACAACTCAAATAAGATGTCTCTATGCCTTAAATTCATTTTTTCGAACCCTTTTATTAATTCGTACCAATAGATAAGACAACTCAAATAAGATATCTTTGTGCCTTAAATTCATTTCCTCGAACCCTTTTATTAATCTTTACCGACATATAGGACAATTCAAATAAGATGTCTCTATGCCTTGAATCCATTTCTTCGAACTCTTTTATTAATCCTCACCCGACAGATAGGACAGTTCAAATAAGTTATCTTTATGGCTTGAAAATCCATTTCCTCGAACCCTTTTATTAATCCACTTTTCCTTCCGAAGTAAGGAATCTTCTATAACCACTTGAAACCTTCTCTTCTTTACCTTCAAAGTTACAATTATCTATATCAAATCTTCCAATACTTCTTCCAAATCTTCAAAAGAATGTAAATTTACAACGTTTGTCGATACGATCAAGAACAAAATCGACAGTCCGACACATATATCTTCTAGAGAGTTTCACAATCATACTGTAAAAGGGCAGGCTAGGCTATTATTCAGGGCTACAGCTTACGCTAAACAAAGTCACAATTTATTGTACAATGGTAATGATAATCATGATGGGCAAGTTCTTGCAGGTTGATACACTATCTATCTATCTTGAAAAGCAGAATAATTTGAAAGATGTTCGGATTTTGCATACCTGATGGCTCCTCTCAGCTTATAACACTAATTTTTAGACGTTGAAGATTGGAGAAACTCGTTCACAAGCTCCTGGACCCTTTTTTTCATGATCTTGTCTTTGATTGTTGCCAGCATGTGTTGGTAGACTGCCTCCATCCTTAGTAGATCTGTGCGATCTATTGACTCGAAAAGGCTTTCCCATTCCTTGGCAATGTCGAAAGTACCAGAATTTCGCAACGAGAGTGGGATATCTCCCTCTTGGAAAGGTTTTCCAAATATGGAGCCATGAAGAAAGCTTGCATACCGTTCCATAACAGACAGTTTCTCTAGCAGAACTTTGATTTCCTCCATAGCCATAAGCAATTTTTTGTTTTCTTCGGTTACTTCCTCGGTACTATCTTCTTCGACTTTATCCTCCGTGCTTTTGGTTTCTATTTCCTCTTGAATGAAATCCTCGCCGGGTGGAGGCCACGACACGACGGTGGGAGTATAACAATCGACTGTCTTACCATTTCCAAGAACTCCGCTTCTCCCTCGTCCCCATGACCATAACTTATATCCATTATGTGCAACAATGATAGTATGAGCAGCCCCACAAGCAACCTGAACAGGATCCAAGAATTTTGGAGATTGAGACCCATTACAAAAGATGGATAGGGGAGAAATTGCATCGCCTGTGTCGGTCCCAGTGAAACTAGCATCAGGGCAAAGTCCAAGTCCCCTTTCCATTCCCCAGGACCATACATCTCCAGCTGATGAAACAACGCTCGTGTGAAAAAGGCCACAAGCAACTGAGATCAGAGATACAGATTGCGGCAATTCTTTTACAGGCTTAGGAAGCAATTCATTTTGGGTAGTTCCATGTCCAAGCTGCCCATTTTCCCCTATACCAAATGTCCAACATACACTTTCTAAAGTGTCACTTGGTCCCTTTCTGCGGCTAAGTAAAGCGGTATGGAACGCCCCGCACGCTACCTCATACACTGCCCAAGGGGATGCCTCGTTAAACGTCTCGATAAGTTGGGGACGTGCCCTGCCATCTCTATCTCCCAGACCTAATTGACCATGAGAATTATTTCCCCATGAGTAGCAAACTAAATCTTCATCTTTATTGTAGGTTGCCCCAACACTAACCAGGGCCACCACATGCTCATTCCCACAAGCAACCTTAACAACAGTACGGCCATGGAGATCCGACACTGGAGAGGGAGTGAAGCTGCTAACATAAGATAAGCCAACTTCGTCCTCACCGTTTGGCTTTGGACAATTACCCCACATCGATAGGGCTCCGAGATTGTCGATTGCAAGCGAGACCAACCCCCCGGCTTTGATGTCACAAATCTGATATAGATGCAATGGAAAATTTAAAAGGAAAAAAACAAACAAACAAGCACAATTCGAATTCTATTCATCAAAATAATGAGAAAACTCACGACAGACCGTTTTTGACCCCTTATTCTTCGAGCCTGACTCGTCTGTCGAAGAATTTGGAGATTCCAACTCATGAAACTGCTTCAGCAAGCAAGGGGCAGCAGAATTTCCTCCATCAAATCCAAGTTGGCCATCTTTGTGATAGTCAAGGATGAAGAGAGGATAAAACTGTAAGAGGAAAAATGAGCACACTTGATAATTTATGCACTAAATGCATCATAACAATCCGTGTGAACCCATTTCAAAGGATACAGATGTTGTAACCCCAGCTCCAAACTGAACCATCATCTGCGAATAAATAGAGCGTGAGCACAACTAGACCCCATTTATAAATCAGTACAGTAGCACTAGAACATAACGCTTTCAGCCTACTTTCTTCAAAATCACTAATCTTTTATTTTGATTTCTCTAAATATCTTGTTTTGGTTCCTCAACTTTCATAAGAAATTGTTCGGGTTTATGCCATTAATTTCTGTATGATATTTAACCAAAAAAACTTAGAAACCCCTTTCTTATATGATATGACTGTGCATCAAATTCAAGTGCATACTGTTGCCAATTGCTCAGATCGGCAATACGATAATCATACCATTAGTACGAGGCCTTTTGGGGAAACCAAAAGCAAAGCCATGAAAGCTCAAAGTGGACAATATTATAGGTCAACAAAGGCATTTCTAGCTGCTGCATTGAGTTCTATAGCTACCCACTCTATAAGTTCTTCAATTTTGTCTCAATTTCTACTTAAAATGCTTATTTTCTCAATCAATTGGCGAACGTTTTAACTTCTTCAAAACTTTACAAGAGAGTTCTTCCTTTCTCTCGCATTTGAAACAAATCTCTCTAAACCATTAAAATGAATGAAAAATCAAACTGTTTCAGAACATTTTCGTCGTCAAGGAACTAAAAATGTTCAGATATTGAAAGAGCATGAATCCTGTGATGCTCATGTTTTAGCTTTAGAATTCATATACCGCAAGCAATAAATGATCATCGTTTCCATTTACCCAAACAATTTCGCAACTGTTAAAGCAAAACAAGCTCTACCTGAAGATCGAATGCAAAATTTGAAATCCAAAAAGACAAACAAGCACACTAACCAGCAAGAGCGAGGCTATGATAAGAACCAGCAGCAATCGCCACAACTTTGAGATTCGCTTCCTCAGAACCAAGCTTAACTCGTACAGGTAAAAGCTCGTCCGCTTCCGTCCCCGTCCCAAGCCGCCCAAACATTCCTCTTCCCCATGAATACACTCTCCCATCTCCTGCAATCCACAACACAGAACTCTGTTACAGCTTCCGATTCAACTTCAACTGAGAAACAATAGAAAAATGCACAGATCATAAAATCTCCCTACCTGTAAGAACGAGAGTGTGAGCTTCACCAGCAGCAATAGCGACGACTTTAGCCGATATTTTACCGGAATAAGGTCGAGTTCCAGTCCCGGAATCCTCCATTGCGTATCCTAGCACAAAACTTAGGCAACGAAAGCAGGGTAACAGTAAGAATTCAGACTTGGGAGTGCGCAACGGATCAAATTTGTTAGTGTGAGATTGATGAAAGCTGCTGCTCCTTTGGCTAAGATCGAAAATACTGATTACTATAGCTCAAATTCACTTCTGCAACTCCATTGAATCTTCATTCAATTAATTATTGAACTCCACAAATTGATTGAAGAAGAAAAGGGCGAGGATTTGTCCAGAAACAAGGCTATCGCTTACTATTCAATCTTTTGGGAAAATATCGATTTTTATTTTTTAATATATTCCTAAAATATGGATGAAAAAATTAATAGATTTGAAAAATATATTTAAAAAATACCTTTAAATTTTCAAAAATTTAATTGATAAATTTGAAGAAATTATTTAATTTTTTTTTTTATAGATATTAAACATGTTAATACTACAAGTATTTTTCAAACATTATTAAAAATTTTAAGATATATATATATATATATATATATATATTTTTTTTTTTTTTTTTTTTTTTA